CACTGTCTCAACACATAGTACATCTGAAAAAGATTTATTATTTTAAAGTGCACCCCTCTGGGGCTTGGGAGTGAGAGTGTTTCTGAGGTCATATACATATTCTTAAAGCTCAGAAACTCTTTCGTGTTGACATGCCTTAAAGGGAGATCTTTAACAATTAGAGAGGAAATGCCAGTCTGTTTACTCATCATCTGTTTTGGGATGAAGTACATTTGGTTCTTTCGAGTATTAGGAATAAAACTGTGAGGATAGTATTTACTGAGCTCTATTTAGAACCCACTTGGAGTTTTGAAGACAAAAGGGTAAACTTGTCCTACTGACCAGGTGTTTCTGTACTCTGGGGTTAGCTGCTTTGTTGCCTCTCAGCGGCATTGTCTCTCAGCGTTCTTGTTCGAGAATTAGTCATAACTGTGTGAATAATGTTTTGGAAAATTGCTTTCTTGGATACAATAATCTTAACTTTCTTTTTGGAAATGCACATTAACAGTCAGCTCTGGCTGGATACTTGGGGAGACCCTATAAGACATAAAGGGCTTTATAGTGCTTCCAGTTGCAGAGAGAGCCTTCTGAAGGCTCCAGAAATGATACTGGATCTTGTGGGAGGAAATCTTTTCCAATTGTCTAGGTTTCTGTAAATGTATATGAGTTTATATGGTTATAAAGCCTTATGATGGAAAATATGTTTAAGAAACGTTAATGCACTCCCAGGCAGGGACTGCACAAAAGATGCTCGAACACATTTAATGCCCTACTTAAATGCACTGCACAAGTCCCGTTCTCGGGAACTGGATAAACAGAACATCTTTTCTCTTTCTATTCTAAGCTTCCATTCCCCCCTCCTCCACCTAGCCACTTCAATGGCACAATAAATGGAAATCTTCCTTCCTGCATCTGCAGACCTATTTACCTGAATGTCTAAGCTCACTCTTGCCTTTCTCAGGTCTGCTGTTTCTGAAATGCACTTTTACTTTCATCTCCCTGGCTTCGTTGCCCTCGTTTTTTAAAGCCTTCCCTAATCCTGCACTCCATGTCCTTTAATCTGTAATGCTGGACATTGCCATTCTGCATAGCCGCCTTTAAACATTCATCATCTCCCAGATTCACATTTTCTTTCATTATGAGTTTAAATCCCTTTTCACAGTCTGTAATAGTGGGAAAAAAATTAAAATAAAGAACTGTTATCAAAGCCATTTCTGCCAGTTTAAAAATCCTTATTGAATGGCTTTATCTTCTTTGATAATTGCATTATTTTTGCAAACTGTGACTTGGATTTACAGTTTTTTTGTGTAACTATGTATGTGCATTTACTTACATTTATTACATAGTTATATATATATATATATATATATATATATATATATATATATATATATATGTAAGTGTATTTGTTACAAGCAGGAAGAACCTTATGCTTCTTCTGGTCTTTTATTTTTGTAACTCAAGAGAATTGATGATTTAAAATAAAAGGTATGTGTGTGTGTGTATGTACGTGAACGATACCTGCAAAGCCTGAATTTTCATAGCAAAAATGTGCTGGCCCCTTATAGATATAACTCATTTAAAGACATGTCTATTTTGGGTACCTCCTTATTTTTCAAAGTTAAGCTCTTAAATACACAGAATAGTGAGTATGTGAGTGCCTGAGCCCCCCAGCCAGTTGGGGGGACTTGGGGAGTTCTAGCCGTGGCCCCTGCTCCTCACAGTTAACCCCTGTGCCTTGGCTTCTTATCTGTGACTCTATAGGATGGGACTAGATGCTGTCTGAGATTAAAAGCATATTGGAGTGGATGGGAGTGTCCAGTGAATAAATGGGAGACACCCACCAGGGGACCTGGAGGTGGCCTGGTAAATCATCGGTGGTTGATAAGGTGGCTTTCCTGCCCTAGAAGGATTGCATCATCCTACCTGGCCTGGGCGTTTCTGCTGCGGCGATAGGAGGGGGGTTTGAAGTGTGTTCCTGATCACTTAATTGAGGTGGGGAATAAAATAGGTCACGTTAAAAGAAAAACATCTATTCAAGGCTGAAAAAAATGTGCCAGCCATGCTGGTTGTTGCAGGAAAATGGTTTTAATTCCTCTTAAACCTCTTGAAGCATCTGCTGAGGAATGTTAAATCAACCGGAGAATTTCTGGTGTCATGTTGCCCAGAACCGATGTTGTATACTCCTTAAGGATGCCCTTAAGAGACTTTCACTTTCTACCACTGGCGTCGTCGGCGTCCTTGTGATGTCCTTGGACTGACTTTGACCCGAACCCCTTTGCCTCCTCCATTTAAAGAGCCAAACCACAGAGCACCATCCCCGGGTTCTAAGCCGCTAGATCGCACACGTAGAGCCTCCTGTAAATACATAAAGCAACTCTCCCTGCATTATGCCTTTCTAATAAAAGGAAGCTGCAAGTTTAATTGTGTCTGAAAAACAAACCCCACAGAGCAACATGTTTGGGACTGATGTTATAGTGAGATGTCAAAGTAAACTTGAAATAGGAACCTTTCCTCTCTAAGCCCCGTTTTATTGCAGACCACATAAAATCAAAGTGCTGGAGCACAGCTGCTCCAAAGGCTGAAGGTCTTCATGGTTATGGCTTCCTTTGGAAACTCAGCCCCACCAGACTTGCAGTTAATGAAAATATTTGCTTTGCTTGATATAAACAAAGTTTATGGGCAGAATTTGTAATTAGTAAACTCTTTAATTCTCTCTTACCGCTCAGTCCCCAGTTTCTCTTGTATTGCATTGAAGAATTCCAAGTATTTAAGAAAATAAACCTTTTCTCAGTAATGAGCTTTACAGTTTTCTTTCTGGTGTTGTCATAATAGGTGCATTTCCCCTTAATTTTGTGTCCTCATCCAAATCGAGGGACTTGAAGTCTGGGGCTTGTTTTTGTTTTCGGTCAGAAATACTCGTGTGTGAGTGGGACAGACAGTGCCTTGTCACAGTGCCTGCTCCTGTCTGGCCATCCCATAGCACTTTCAGTGCTCAGGTGGGTGATTAAGGCAGTAGAAGGGCAGCCACAGGGCAGCGTAGCTCTGTTCAAACCACATGGGAAACCAGTGTTGCCTCTTCAAGGCCCCCACATTCTATGTGTGTAACCCCCTGGGGCTGTGGCCTCAGTGCTTTCCAAGTCTTTGTCTCCTAGGGTTTCCTGCCAAACATCCAGGAATCAGGTGGTCAGGGGTCTTTCTTGGAGGCATAACACCTGCTTGCTTTCCTAAGATGAGACCAGTGTGGTGGTGGGGGACTGGTCAGGAGAACCAGATATTGGACCAGAGGAAACAGCTGTCCCTTCAAGTGTCACAAGTCTCGGCCTGGTGGGCATTCAGCCCCAGTGGCATTTGGTGTTATGATGCAAACCTTCCCATCCTCGTTCTGCCTTAAGATCTGTTTCATTGCCAGACAGTCGAAAGAGAGATAGCTGATGCTTCAAGCCCTGGCTTAAGACATCAAGGAGGTGGTTTTTGAAAGATTTCAGGCTTGTCCATGGTGGTGTAGGTAGTGTAAGCCTCGATTCTGCATCCTGGGAATTGGTGGTCAGTGGTAGCTTACAGTGCTGGCTTGGGAAGCTAGGGGCGGGGGACGAGGGTACTAGGGGGACCAAAGCGGGAGACATTGCAGTTCTCTTGGACTTACTTAGGAGGTAAGGATCTCCTTTGACTCCTGCCTTCTTCCCTCCCTCATGGACAGAACGTTATTGCTCTTGGGTATTTGCCTAATAGTCTTGTTTTTTAAAATTCTAGTGAGGGTTTCCTGCCAATTCGGGTTGTTTCTTCAAATACCAGTCATTTGGGTATTTAGTGATAAGTCTTTAGTTTCCCAAGTTTATTAAAATCCGTTCAGGCATAGCTAGCCCAGCTGAGACTGAAATTAGCTTTCTGATGGTGCCAACTCATGCCTTGTGGAACCCATGGTTTTCCTGTTCACAGCTCTGCTGGTTTTGAGTTGTGTTTGAAAGCCATGCCTGAGCCTGTTTGCTTGTTTTAAACACCCCCCTGCTCCCTGCTGCCCACTAGTCTGTGGAGGGGGTGGCTGTATTTCACCATGCCTCCTAACGTGAAAAACAAGGGCAGTGATGCCATTGGGAACTTGACAATTGGGGTTGTATCCTTTCAGTGTTGTACACAAAGATCTGTAAAAATTGAGTTCCTGCTGAACTAGACAGGTTTATCTTTTATTTTTTTCGTTTTTATTTTGGGGGAGGTAACTAGGTTTATTTATTTATTTTAATGGAGGTACTGGGGATTGAACCCAGGACCTCATGCTTGCTAAGCACATACTCTGCCGCTGAGCTATACCCTCCCCGCTAGACAGGTTTAAGTTCAAATCCAGGCCTTGATTTTTTGGAGTCAGAAAGGCGTGATAAGGACCAGTTAGACAATTTTCATCAGAGAGACTGGTTTGCTTGTGGAAAGCTTTCTATACCTTTCCAGTTCTGCTGTATATAATTTAGAGCTTAAAGATGCTTTTTAGTCATCAGCATAATGAGTTACCTCCCCCCCTCGCACATTCTCATTTGTTTCTTGGTACATACCAGGGGGTGAGGAGGAAAGTGCATCATCTGAGGAGTTGAGGACGGGTTGTATATTTTTTGGAGATGCTATTGTGAACTGACATACTCATTCCTTGTGTCCCCTCTACGTTGTAACTGTGTTCTCTGAATTTTTTTTTTTGATGTGTCTACTCTAGAAAGTTTAATTTCATAATGTAAGCTTGTTTGTCCTTATATTCATTTAGGGGTTGAATTCCAAGGAGAAATTGCTTAATCAGGGGGCCATGGTTCCAGTCTCATGACTAAGGGTTTGTGCTGGTTGTGGGAGGGTGGACCCTGTGTCATGGGGAGTATGGAGTGGGTGAGATGAGAGAAGAGTCTTTTTTTAAAAAAAAATTTAAAAAGTATTCAGTGCACACATATGGCATGTGGGAATTCTAAGAATGTAGTTTTTAGGAGTTAGATTTGCACCTGGCTGTCATGGATGGCCTAACTGAAGGTTTTCTCTCTCCACTCCAGGAGGTGACTTTGGTCCAGAGACTTCCCCTCCTGTCCTGCCCCCTGGCCATGGCGGCGACTTTTCAGTGAGCAGCCTTCCGGTGGCCGAGGACGCCTACAGGATGAGCTTGGCCAAAGGTGTCTCCATGTCTCTGCCTTCATCACCCCTGCTGCCTCGACAGTCTCACTCCGTGCAGTCAAGATCAACCAAAAAATCCCCAGGTAAGCGAGCAGCAGAACAGCTCCAGACTAGCTCCTGGGTAATACTTGGGTTGCAATTAAGCCAAAGAAGTGCTAACAAGAAATCCTCTGGGAGAAGGTTTTTTCCTTTATTATGGTAACTCCCAGAAGAAGGGAATCTAAAAAAAAATTATGGCTTGGAAAGATTTGTGTCTTCAGTTCAACCTGTATATATAAACTACTTTGATTGCCCAGGCTTGACTTGTACAAAGATTCGAGGTCTTGTTATCAGTGTTAACCTTACCCACCAGTTTTGCTATTTTCTTGTTCACAAATAAGGGCAGTGCTGAAATCTAAACTCGTTGTGGTCTGTTGAAAGGTTATGGATTTTGGCAAGTACAATCTGACGACAGTCTGTTTATTACTGCACAGTAACGATACCCAGCGTTGCATACTGATGTGTTTTCATTGATGACATCATCCAGCGTTTGAACAGCTATAAAATTTAATTGGTGAAAATTCAGACTTGTAAAGGAACAGGGCAGGGGACTTACAGATTACTTTGCTGAAGTACTTTGGCTTCCCTTATTATTACCAACTTTTTACACTTAACATTACCAATAAAAACCCAAACATTATTTAACATTGATCAGATGTGAGGAAGGCCTTTCCGTAATGCTAATACCTGGAATCATCAAAGTTCTTTGATCTTCTTTCAGGTTTTCTGAGTATTTGTTTATGGAGGGCAAGATAAATTGGGGCCTTATGGTTATGTGCCAGTGGAAGGGTTCTTCTCATTGACACACAAACATGTTTGAAATTGGTCTACACTATGCCCTGAGGCTGTGAAATTGTTATCTGTTTCTCTAATTTCCTAAATATGTGTACTCCTTGAGATGTTGCATGTACTATTTCTGAATCATTTAGGAGATAATTGCAGTTTCTGTGGGAGTAAAATTAAGAGGGTAAACCTGAAGGCTTTGTGCTATGAATTGGTGAATGTCCTGAGTCTTTCCATTGTTCTAGAACTTTCTTAATTTGGACAACATTGTTTACAATCCAGCCATTAGCTGGAACTTGGAAACCTTTTTGGTATGAAGTGATTTCCTGTGCCAAGGAATCTGACCTGTTTATCAGTATTTGGGGAAATTCCTGGAATGTCCTTTCTTCCTCCTCTTGGCCCTCCCACTCCGGCCGTATCTCTGTCAGATTTCTTCTCTTCTCTCAAATCCCAGTTCCCACACTGACTTTTTTGCTAGTCACCCCCATTGGAAGTACTCTCCTTTTAACAAACTGTGCTCAGCATTTACTTTTTCTTTTACCAGCCAGGTTATTTGTCCTTTTCCCTTGAGTCAGTGTGTGTACGTGCTTCCTACGTCTGACAGCTGAGGGCAGGCCTGGTGTCATCTCCAAGTGCAAACATCTACATAAACCAGATAGTAGACTTTCCTTCCTGCTGTCTGTGCTGCTGCAAATGAGTCACTGCTGGCTGGGCCTCGGATGGGCGAACGCCGGAGAGCCTCTGGGGAGTACTGCATTTCAGATGGAGTTTTGTTATTAATAACAAAATCAGTGTTAGTTTTAGTGGGACTTCAATCCTTAAAAAATTTTTCCGGCTTTATTGAGATATAATTGACATATAACATGGTAAGATTGAGGTGCACAATGCATGATTTGCTATATGTGTATATGGCAGAATGATTACCATGATAAGGCTAGCTAACACATTCATCACCGCAGTTACTGTTTATTGTGTGGGTTGAGTGGAACATTAGGTAGCAGTGAATGGCATGGCCAGCTTGGGCAGTGTGGGTGGCCAGCAGGGTCTGACACTGAGGCACACCTGGGGAGAAATCCCTGACAAGGCCTTGTCTCCTGCGTCCCGACCAAATTAGGTATCTTTGGTTTTTGAGAAAGTATCCCCAAATTTGTTTTTCTCCAGAAGAATAAATTTATTTCTGCTAAACACTTTGCAAGGCCTTTTGAATAGAAGGGAGTAGTTGGTTCTGCAGCATTCAAACCTTTAATAAATTGAAGGAAATATTTTCCATAGTAGATGCTTTTGGTCCAAATGATAAATATATTAAACAGATTCTTCTCTAGCAGAACAGTGCTTGTGGATTGCCCACATTTGTACGGCAAGTTAGTGTCTCACAGTGGTCATTTGACTTCATTATCTTGGTAATTATAATTCGAAAAGAAAAGTTAAAGGCAGAGATGCTTGCTTAAAAATGGCAGTGACTCTGAATACATCAGACAGTGTTTAACACACAGAGATTTCTGTTGTTAATCATGTTGCTGGAAAAATATCCAGAGCCCTAATGTTCTACCTGCCTGTTAAAAAAAAAAAAAAAAGAAATAGTTGACATATGGTTGTGAACATGCACTGGATTTAAAAATAGCATTTATTTAAAAAGCTAGTACTGTTGTTGCTGATGATACAGTAAATACGGTGAGTGAGCAGAGTCCATAGGTGTAGCCCCCCACCCCACCCAGTTTTCCCAGCCCATCGGGCTGGGCTTCAGAGGCACATCAGTTTTCAGGCCCAGCTCTGAGTTACCTCCGTGACTCTGTTCTTCTTTGTAAGATTAGACCCCTTTCTCTTTCTTTTTGTTTAAGAAGGTACTTTTAAAAAACAAAGAACCCCCACCAAGCCCAAACCTGTTTTACTTGTTTGGATAGAAAGTCTTCACTAATTGATGCTAATCAAGAAACTGTTGGACCGAAACTATTATGCTAGCAAAGGTCAAATACCATAGACTCCTGTAACCGGCACTCAGCACAGCCTGTATGAATAATGAGTCTGTGTCCTAGTGCAGGTGGTGACTGGCTCCTGGGTCATGGGAACTTGGGACCAAAAAAAATGCCATTAACCTTGCAATAATATGACCCTGTATTTTACATGATTGAGTTTTTTACATCCCACTTACATTGCTAGCTATTATTTTTATTTACTAGGTGGTAACCTTGCTCCACCTTATTTAATTTTTTTTTTAACTGCTAGGTCTTAAGATTCAGTTTCCTGAGTACTGTTTCAAATTTTTTTTTCCCAAATGAAAAATTTCTGGTAATTAAAACAAGAACCAGTATCCATTAAAGTAATTCTGTGCCTGTTGCAAGCCTTTTTGGATTAAGAATTCATTAATTGTAATGCATCTTCTGCCAGAGAAGAGCAAAGCCCATTTCCTGTGACTTGTTTATTAGTAACATCATTTGTTACTTTATATTTGGATTACATTTCCCAGATCACTTTGGGCCCATTATGAAACAATCAGAAGGAGGCACGAAGCAGCCTTTTAAAATCCTGTGAACGGGGTACAACAGCAGATGGTGAAAAGTGGGTGATACTGCTTTTCTCATCCTCACTTGTATGGGGAGCCTGGGTAGTGCTGGTTTGCTGGTTATAGTCGTCTTGCCTTAATCATGTTTTCTCTATCCATGGTTTCAGTTACCTACGGTCAGTTGGCGTCCAAAAATATTAAATGGATAATTCCAGAAGTAAACAATTCATAAGTTTTAAATTGCACGCTGTTCTGAGTAGCATGATGCAGTCTTGCCCCGCACTGCCTGGGCTGGGAACCCTTCCGTTGTTTGGTGTGTCCGGTGTATCCCGCCCATTACTCACCGAGTAAACCCCTCAGTTATCAGATCCACTGGCGGTGCTTGTGTTCATGTATCTCATACTTTACTTAATAATATCCCAAAGCATAAGACGAGTGATGCTGGCACTTCAGATACGCCAAAGAGGAGCTGTAAAGTGCTTAAGTGAAAAGCTTCTCGACTTAATAAGGAAAGAAAAAAAGTCACATGCTGAAGTAGCTAAGAGTTACGGTAAGAACAGATTCTCATACGTGAAATTGTGAGGAAAGAAGAAGAAATGTGTGCTAGTTTTGCAGTCGCACCTCAAACTGCAAAAGTTATGGCCCCAGTGTGTGGTAAGTGCTTAGTTAAGATGGAAAACACGTTAGCTTTGTACTATAAGATACTCTGAGAGACACCCCATTCTATTTTATTTGTTGTTGTTAATCTCTTACTGTGCCTAATTTATAAATTAAACTTTACCCTAGATCTGTGTGCATAGGGAAAACACAGTATGCACAGGGTTCAGGGCTGTCCATGGTTTCAGGCATCCAATGAGGGTCTAGGAACATGTCGGGAACTGCTGTATTTGCACCTCTGCTATTTCCAGTCCCAGTTCTGTCTCAGTTGACAGAGCTGATGTAGCAGTTTTGAAAACCCCTCTGGCTGTCTGTTTCTTTAAGGGAAAAACCTCAAAGTTGACGGGCTGTAAAGTGAAAGCCATTCTGCACTTTGATTCTTGGACCATGAGTTAAAGTCTATGAAGGCCATCCTTCCCTCATCCCACTAGAGTGTTTCTTGTAGAAAATTTGGAAATTCCAACATAGAGACAGAACTTCTCTTAGTGTTTTGATTTTCTAAATTTTTTTTATCGATTCCTCCTAAACCCGAGACCACATGTGCTCTGCTGTTTTTTTACTGAATATTCTATCATGAACAAGTTGCAGTTTGCTTGAAGAACTTGATATTTAATGTCCATTGTTTCAATATTCCATAATTGATTTTTAACTAATTTCTATTAGATATTTACATTCTTTTTTAGGTTTTTTTTAAATTGTAGTGTGAGCCAAGATGTTTTATTTTGCTTTTGCTATTAAATGCCTGTGAATTTTTTTGAATTTTATTTTTAATTGTGATACTCATAACCAAATTTACCATCTTAACAATTTTTAAGTGTACACTTCAGTTGTGTTAAGTACACATTGTTGTGCATCCAGTCTCCAGAACTCCCGATGTGTTTTTTTGAGTAATTTTTACATGCCTCTGATCTCTCGAGTGGCAGTTTCCCAGAAGTGGAAGTATTGAACTAAACAGGCTGCATTTTTAAAGATTCTTGGTGTACATACTGCCCAGTCACTCTTCGAAAAGGCTGTATTGATTTCCCATTCCCTCCAGCATCTTTGAGAGGCTTCCTTTTGGAGTTAACATCTTCTGGAAACAGTCTTGAATGGCCTATGTTAGGA